GAATTGTACAAGGCACATGAATGGGCCCGATCTCTCCTGGAGAGTGATCAGGTAAGAGCTGTGGGACCTGGAATTCAAGAGCTGATGTCAATGTAGATTCCCAACTCCATACCTTAATTCACAGTCACTCACTGAAAAACATTCTCTGAATATTCTTAGAATCCTTGAGAGTTTAGCCTGAATAATGATGCCCTCTGAAGGACAAACTATTCTGCATAGTTTTTGTTATCCTGAGAGCATTGCTTTCTTCCATTACTTTTACAAAATGAAAAGTCAAACTGTTAAGCTGATTATCTTGTTCAGTCCTCACTATGCATATAGTCTTTTTAGTGATTAGAACACTGGATGCTAGTGCAACATGGTATCAGAATTATGTGCTAGGAAGAGAGCAAGATGGATAAATCATGTGTTGGATTAAGAACTACATAGTTTGGAAAGGTTTTTTTTTAAGGAATAATTTTGCATGTGACAGTTTGGCAAGTGTTGTGTTTTGGAATTCAATGCATTTCATTATTAATGGAATTAATGCATTCAATGCATTAATTTTTAACTGAAAATGCCATGTGAGAAGAAAGGACACTGTGCTGTGCAGTACATACCCAAGGGCTGAAAACCTTCCATGGTAAAAACTTAGTGTTTTTATTTGCATAAGTGAACCATAAGATCACTTATGCAAATAATTTTGTAATAAGTCAAGTCAGGAAGGGGATTATTCTGTATTGCTTTTCCAAATGGTTGAGCTACAACTTTTGGTGTCATTGGGCAGTTAGTTCAATAACTTCTCAACATTTGCAATTACAACTACAGCAATAAACTGGATAAGTGGTTTTAAGGAAGTGAAACAGAGGGAGAAAGATCACCAAGGCACACCTGTCAAGCTTTTATGGGTATTCAGGCAATTTGTGGAAGACCCTCACATAGTTGTGTTCAACTTCCACAGAGGATTTGCTTTTCTACAATTTTCCTCTGTGTGTATTTGCATTGGTCAGAGTCTTGCTACAATCATAACAACATTCAGATCTACCCACTATTGATTAAGGAAGCTGTGATAACCTTTGTTAGTACAAACATTATTTAAATGCAGTTTGGGCTGGATTTTTAATTTCTTGGAATGGTGTAATTTAAAATCTGTGACCTCTGATAACATTGGTTTAATGTGCAGCTGGCTCTCATATCATTATGCAAGATGTTGATTTAGGGAAGACCTGGAAGAGGCATTTTAGCATCTTGTGGACTCTTGCCTGTTAAAGTCCCCACAATGTGACACCAATAGCTGTGGTAGAAAAGAAAATGCAGTTTCTACTCAGGTTTCATGCTATAAAAGCTGCCCATCCAAGAGCCTAAACCTTAGATGAGATGCTCTACTCTTTCTGGACAAAATGCTGAGAAAAAACCTGAAAAACTCAGAACCACCATTCATTCTAAATGAATTTGTTTTCCCCTGAAACTCAGTTTTGAAAGCTGCAAGCAAAACAAGCAGCACTTCTCTATTAAAACAAACAAACAAAAAAAGGTAGAGTTTAAATAACACTTGGATAAAATGAAATTACACCTTTCTCAGGAGTAAATTTTCTAGAAACACAAAGAGCAGTAAGTCAGAACAGCACACAAAACCTCCCTGGGATCTCTGGGATCTGGAGTCTAAATACTGTAGCATGACACATAATTTCAGATCTATTCATCATCTTGCAGGTGTTGATTTGAGGGATGCACATGCAAATACCACAACCTGTACAATTCTTAGGGCTTCTAGTCTTCTCTCATAATTCTGTTAGTGGGGTTACAAGCTTGCTTTACCTTTATTATATGTATAAGCCTTATATAATTTTCCCCTCTTCCTCTATCCATCTTTCACCCTCTTCCTTCTTTGCTTTAAACTTAGCAACTCCTGTTTGGTTATTTTTCTTAATGCACAAAATGTCCAGGACTATTAGCCTTTGGCCATCCAAAGAAACTAATAACAGAAATAGTTTGTACTTAAAACATCTTTCTCATTTTTAAAAATATTTGAAAATATCTCTGTAACAGAGAGAAACAGTAAAATGCTTTAATGAGCCTGTTTGCTGGTTAACTGAGTTTGGTTGTTTCATACCTTTAGGATAAAGGCCAGAAACTGATGAGGATTATGTTAGACCTTGAAAAACAAGGTTTAGAAGCAATGGAAGATATCCTTTCTCGTACAGAGATTCTGGATCCAGCTGAAGTAGTGGATCTTTTCTATGACTGTGTTGACACAGAACTAAAGTTCTTCAAATAAAGTAAGCAAACAATTCTTTAGGTACTTCTCTACCAGTGAATGTGAAATGTTGGATCTGATTCTGAACCTCCTCCTCTTTTACACTAAGCCGAGGATGTTAAGAATTGGGTTCAAACCCATCTTTTTACCTGCTCAGCTTGTCTCCAAAGTCCCTTTTCCCTATGCTGCATTGCAGGCGATTTTTTTCAATTTTACTCTTGCTTGGAATGGATTTTCAACAAATTTTATCTCATTTCAGCTACAGTGGCTATTGTTAGCCTTTTCACTGGAAGACTGCAGTGTTCTTCAAGCCTTGAAAGAAAGTCTTCACACTTGTGATTTTGCAGGAAAAAAACATTTCTAGAGGAAAAAAATGTTACTTGCTAGCTGTATCTGGTTAACAAATTGCTTTCCTTTGTCCAATCTTGTGGTGTTCCTGTTTGTGTATGTATATAGTGAAAGGAGAAAGTCACTGACTGGTCCAATTACTGTGTGCATGCTGGCTAATTTAGTACAGAATGTTAAAACATGTATGTTGGGCAACCAATTAAAGATTTAACTTCATCAGGCCAATTGCCATATTGTCATTGAAAGCAGTCTGGTTTTCCCTCTGTTGCTCAGGACTAGGCTTGCAGCAAAGCTGACTTGCATTTTTCTCTTCTTACTAATTCATACAGAGTTGGAGTAGTAGACTTGAAATCACAGTTTGAGACAGGCAGGAAGGTAAGTCCTGGCTCCTGACCTTGTTGTTCTGGTTGTATCTGGTTGCAGTAACTCAGCACCTGACATTATGCCTGTACAAATGATCAGAATTCAGTCCCCAGGTTAAGTTCTGCCTTCGCCCTCAGCCAGCTTGTGTTTGTAGTGCACCTGGCTGCTGCTCCAGAGCTGAGTCCTGAAGTGCAGAGCCAGCCTGGATGCTGTAGAGATCTACACATACTGGCTCTTAAGATGCAATTAATAAGGTGTCAGATTTATATACAAGCTACAGTTTTGGAATTTTTTTAAGGAATAGATGCTGGACATTGGTAAGTACCTGGCTATTCTCCATCTTTCTGCCTTTGCACTGCTGAACAATTCCTAGTAATCTCTCTTGTGAGACACATGGCTAATGAATCCATTCAGTACAGTGAGTTTCTGCTGTGTGTGGCAATGCAACTGGTTAGGTTTAGGAATGGCTGTCCTGTGCTTCCTTACACTAGATGCAGCACTGCAGCATGCTTCCCTTCCTCCAGAGTCCTACAGGCAGACCTGCTTCTCATTGTATTTTCTTCTTGTTCAAGTGACATAGGGCAAACATTGAGAATTAAACCAGTAAACACTGTGTCCAGTGAAGATGGATAGTGGTTTTTTTTCATACAGGAGGTTGAAAGAGGACATCCATGTCTTTAGTAAGTGGAAGTTAACACATGAAGTTAAAATCCTTCACTGTTTAAGAAAGTAGATGGTGAAGAACCACAGGCTTCAGTATTGAGGAAGTAAAAGCTCCTTAGAAAGCAGAAACACCTCAAGTTGAAACTAAGAGTTGTGCATCAGGGAAATAGTCATTGCCATATTGGCACACTGCATTCTCAGGATTTTTTAAATGAAATTGTTCCATTCAGATTCATTACTTTGGTATTGCCTTATATGACAAATGGCAATTGGACAAGAAAACATGGGGCCTTTTCACTTACAGAAAACAAGGAAGAATATATTTTCTCTTATGGCCTATCTAATAATCTCCCATTCACAATGAAATCCTCCCATGCTGTCTATCCTAAGACCAACTCCTGTGTCTAAGTATTTTAAAGTGTAGACAAGAGAAGGAAATATTCAGGTAGATCCTGAAATTTAGCTGCTTTGTATGGTAATCAGAGGAGGGGCTGACTGCAAGAAGCACACTTGATTTCAGAGAACGTTGCAGGGGATGAAGCTCATTGAAAAAGAAGTGTGCTTTTTCCAGCTGCCCATAACTGAAGTAAATGGAATTTCCCATGAAATCACATCTCCTAATAGGAGTAGCTGGGTATTTCTGCACAACCAGGGAACAGGAATAAAATGATTGCTCCAGGAAGAGGACAAAAATTAGGATGTACCACTTCTCACAGCTATTTTGCATGACTTGAATCTCTAATCTTTGAGAGCTGGGAGGAAGGCAAGATGAAAGTGAGTGTTCCTGTTGAAAACATCATATATCTTATTTGCCTGTTTCTTAAGAAAGAAGAAAGCAACACTTACAATTATCTCATGGGCGTTTATGTCCTTATTTGGAACTGCTTATATGACAGAATGAATAAATTGTTTTGAGCACAGTGATCCAGGTAGTAATTTTCTAATAGTGTTGATTTCGCTTCAATTGTATAGTGCACTTAAAAACCAAAACCAGCTGTGGTACAGCAACATGTTTGGGGGTAGTCAGCAGAAACCACAGCAACTGCATGGCCTTAATGTTTGCAATGGTGTGTCTCAGTGGAAGGACACAGTGGGGCTTGTGGGATCAGCTGCCTCAGGGTGACAGCTAGTGTGATCCTCTGTATCTCCAGACACTTCAATGGATCTTGAATGACAAATATTTGAAAACATTTCAGAAATGCTAGCAAATAGGCACAGGATTTCTCATTTCATCCCTGAAAGATGTTGTTTATTTCTAAAATACCCAAACCCTAATAAGAAATGGAGTAAAATTTTCTTCTCCTTTATATATCTGCTAGCAGGTAGTCTAGAATTAGTTTTAAAATCCATAGGAAGGTACTTACTACAGAGCAGTACACAAATTTCAGAATAAATGAGAGCCAACACTATGCCACTTTTAATAATACCATAACAAAATAGTTTTTAAAACAGTATTTAACTTTTCCAGTTGTTGGAGAAGCAATATAGGTGTAGACCCCTGCTTGTTACTACATTCATGCATATTTATCAAGTAACTACAGTAAGTGACACTATTGGTCAAAGCATCACCACTTTTTTTTCTTTTCACATTATGTACAGCAAGTTATCATAATAGACTAGAAAAAGACTAATGTTACTTTCTTGGAGTCCTGTGGGTGAAGAGCTTCTTACTCCTACACCACCTCACACCATGAATGTACATGTATGTGGGAATTGTTACAGCATAACTGAACTACTGCAACAACAAAGAGAAAAGCAGGGATGTAAAGATACAGTTACCTGTCTTTTCCAAAAAGTTTTGTTTAAAGGCAACACCATGGGGAAAGATCATCAGTGATCTATAACACTATTACACCTCTAACTGAGGGGAACTGATGGCAATTATATAAATTAAAGCCATAACTGTAATAGCCTGGCTGTTAGCACCAGACTCACCCTGGAACAGCAGTATTCTTTTTCAGGCTGGTGAATCATGGAATTATTTATACTGGAAAACAACTCTTGAGATCATCTAATTCAGCTGTTAACCCAGCACTGCCAAGTCCATCATTAAAGCATGTCCCTGTGATGCCTTGTGAAGGCTGACCTAGAACAGAGACTAGACGGAGTTAAAGAATAAAGTAAGTATTATTAGATAAGGCCTCAATGGATACACCTTAGGCAGTACAAGAGCCCAAGATGAACCCAAAATGGTCACAAAATGAATGACCAGTCATGAGGTCTCTCATAAGATCTGGTCCATTAGCATATTGGAGTTAATTATCCAGTTATAGCTTTAGATTATGAAGTCCCATCCTTCTTGTTTTTCTCTCTTCATTCCACTGTTGTTTACGCTCTTGGGCCTGAAATTTGGATCATTTGTCCTTGGTCCCCAGGGCCAAGGGTCTTTTGTCTACCTACTCTATGATGAGAGCTTGCTATCTCCAAAATATGAAGCTCAGAACTACACACTAAAGCAGTACAGAATCTGAAAAATGTAAAAGCTAAAACCTGAGGCATCACCTGAGTGCTGTATCTACAAGTCTTTTACATACCTGTAGGTATTAAATGGTGACTTCACCACTTCCCTGAGGAGCCTGTTCCAATGCCTGAGCACCTTTTTGGTGAAGATGCTTTTCCTAATATCAAATCTAAACCTGTCCTGGCACAGCTTGAGGGCATTTCCTCTTGTCTGGTGCATTGTTACATGAGAGAAGTGACTGACCCCCACATTGGTACAGGATCCTTTCGGGTTACACAGAGTGCTAAGTTCTCCTCTGAACCTCCTCAAACCAGGATTCTGTTGGCCTTCTTGACCACCTGAGCACACACTGGCCCCTGTTCAGCACATTTAGCCACTGTCAGCCAGCACACCCAGGTCCTTTAGCGGCAGGCAGATTTCCAGCCACTCTGCCCCCAGCGGTGCCTTGGGTTGTTGTAACCCAGGTCTAGGAACCCAGAAAAGCTGTAAAAAGGGGAATCAAAGGTGGTTGGGATTGAAAGGGATGGATACAGGTCATCTGGTCCAACACCCCTGGCCAAGCAGGGTCACCTACTGCCAGTTGCCGAGGACAAAGTCCAGATGACTTTTGAGTATCTTTAAGGAGTGAGATTCTACAAGGTCTGTGGGCAACCTGTTCCAAGGTTCAGTCACCCGCACAGCCAGAAAGTGTTTCCTGATGTTCTGACAGCACCTCCTGTGTTGCAGTTGCCCAATTCCTCTGCTCCTGTCACTGGACACCATTGAAAAGAGTCTGGCTCCATCTTTATACCCCCACTTCAAATATTTATATGCATTGGAGAGATCCCCTCTGAGCCTTCTCTTTTCTAGGCTGATCAGTCCCAGCTCTCTCAGCCTTTCCTCACAGGAGAGATGCTCCAGCCCCTTCATCACCTTTGTGGCCTTTTGTAGGACTCTGTTCAGCATGTTCAGTCTTCTTTGCACTGGGGAGCCCAGAATCTGGACACAGCACATGTGGCCACACAGCAGTGTGGCTTTACTGGAATCACTTCCCTGACACCTCCGTGGCACCACTTCTCCCAATGCACAAGAATAAGGGTAATAAATGCTAGAAATAAATATCTTAGGACCAGATCTAAACATCTGTGATCCACAGACCTTACCCAAGGTCTGAATATTAAAAGAAGTAGTTAAAATCTTGTCTGCTGATAGGTTGTTACTTTTCCCAACCAACTCTATTTGAGACAATGACCACTTTGGGGGCTGAGTGTTCCACGTGGTGTGTTTTGGACAATGAACAGCTAGCAAACAGCAGTAGCTCTAAAACGTAGGTTTTGGACCTCTCATCCAAAGGCTTTGTAATTGCTGGGTAAAGGCAATCTATCACAGAAATGGTAAATACCCACTTTGCCAGTAGGAAAAGACAGGATATGTGTCCTCACATATGCTCATCACAGCATGTGTATTCACACACACCATTTCTTTTTCTTGCTTACAATAGAGCAACTTCCTTTTCCTCTACTTTGGAAAGGCTCTGTCATCTCTGTCAAGTCCATGACCACCCTACTCAGCTGGGCTTCTTCAGACACTATCCTATAAGGATATGTAATCATTAGGAGGTAGACTCATTAGCAGCCACAGTTCCTTGGATCTCCTCTTCATGCTTCATGAGAAAAGGATTGTGGGCCCATCTCTTCATGAAAATGACATCCTGCTGCAATCTGAGGCCAGGTAGAATGGAAGAAATGAAGAAACATAAAACCAGACTAAAGATAGCATATTAGTTTGACAGTTCATTGAAAAAATGTCTATATAATAACTGGAGAATTTCCAAAAATTATGATGGAAGGGGAAAAAAGAACTACAGGCACGTAGCACAAAACATTCTGAGGTAACATTTCAGCACAGTAAGAATGAGAAGTGTTTCAACACTACAAAGAATTTAAATTTTATGCTGCTTTGCTTAAAAAATATTCACCTATATACAGTAATTTAAAAGCCTGTACTAACATTCCTGCAGTATGTAGGCCAGTTCAAAAGGTGTACATTTATATTGTTTTACAGTTTATAGAAATGTTAATATTGCAGTATTTGTGACTCAAGTACAATCTATCACTGCAACAGGGACTCCTTCTGTCTTAATGTATTATCTTGATCTTCTTTATTAATACTAGTCCAGAGAACTTCAGAAGACTCTTCTCATCTCACGTGTGTTCTTAATGGAGGATTTTTAGAGGGATCTGTAAATAGACAGGACAGATTTTAAACAGTACTTTGGATGCAGTTATATAGCAGGGATGCTGCTACCCCTGATATATACATGTTTACCTACATATACACACATATTGCTTGTGCTCTGCAGCCCTTCAGTAAAAAGTCAGAATATACAGCAGATAATTTAGCCTGACTGAGGCTGCTATGAAAATTCATGCTAAGTACCTTAGCATGGAAACAAAACAAAAGGTTAATTAAAAGTTGGAGATCTAATAATACAGAAAACTGGGTTTTATAAAAAAAGTAGACTAAGGGCATGAGATCTTTTGGCACTTTCAACTACCCATTTTCAAAACTGGATAGGTGAGCTGCTCTTACAACAGTGACCTCATTCTAAATTACTAAGTTAAGAAGGGAGGAAAAAAAAATAAAGCAAGGTTCAGCCATTTATCACTTTCCTGACAAAATTAATGTATTAAGTCTCTTTGTTACTCAGGTGTGTAAAACACCATGCACAGGATTTAAATCAAAATACTAAATGAAAGATATGGATCAAGTCATCTTTCTTGATGAAAAAGTTAGTGAACAAAAAAATCAAACTCAGTAGCTGCCCAAGTCTGTTTTTACAGCATGACTGTTCTTAACATCACAGGCTTTGCAAATTTAGCAATATAAAAACACAGGCTGCATGTCCAGCCACATTATTTGTTTTTAGCTAAGACTCTGAAGTAATGAAGTGCTTTTCATTTTATCTTTGGTCCCTGTTGCCACTGTGTAACCCATTCCTCTCTGTGCCAGTGCTAACAGTCCAGTTATGCTAATGCTGGTTCAGTTCTTTATTTTGCATCCCCATTTTTAAACCTCTTGATAATGATCAGATCTTTCCATATTTACACACTTACCTCTGGGTATCTTGCTGGGATATGTTTTCTGAAATGGTTTGAATTCATCAGGTGGGGGGAAATCTTCCACAGAATGGAAAGTAAATTTTGATTCAAAGTCATCTGGGAAGTTTCAGGGAAATAAACATTAGCTGGTACTGGAGCGAAACTTAAAAACAACAACAATCAAAAACACCCCCCAAAAAAACCCAAACCCAACAATGTTTCCACAAGTAATTTCTATTAAAAATGCTGGCTTGTTTTCTCCTGAAACTGATGGTGGCTCATTCTATAGAAACCATCTTGATGAGTACTTCTGTGAGCCATCCAAGTTTTTTGCTTTAATTGCAATCATTGCCTGCTATTAAAACTGAAGGTAAGCTTCTGGCTGCTGTTCCAGTTTTCTGCATTGATGATATTGTGGTAATAGAGGTATTCATTGCTCGTTTAAGACATGTAGCTGTAAACAAGAATGAATGGCCAATTAATCAGACCACAAAAATAATTCTTAGGGGTCTTTGCCCTGTAGGAGTGAAACCTCTAAATGTCCATGATGTGGTTTGAAGAATGATAATATAAGCACATCATGGGAATTTTTCATATTTTTAAGTAACTTTGCAGGTAGTGTGTGCTTTTCTTTTCTACTGACTAAATTCAAATCCTTTTTGAAAAAGCTTTAATTTTCTATAATTGTATAAGGTTGTACAAAAATGTTTCTGTTATACTACCTTGTTATTGCTAGGACAAAGTCTTGAGTGAGTTTTTGAGGTCTGAGACACTCACAGGCTTTTGTACTAAAATTATTAACTAAGGCCAAGAAATTTAATTTAATGATATTACCAATAATGTGCATATTTCCATTTTTAAGTGGTGTGTAGGGGTCATGAGCTGTAGCCCAGGCTGAGACTCCAGACTTGCTTGTAAGTTCAGTTGTTGGGGATCTTGCAGGTGGCTGTGGAGGTGTGACCAGCTTCCCAGCACCAGTTCCTTTAAAAAAACACCAGGAGATCAGCATATAAGCATCATCATGACTTAAACCCAACAGTAAACTACACAAAAAAGTGGAGGGGGTGTAGAAAGAATGCAATATTTGGGGCAAACATACTTACAGCTGTTGTTTGCCAAGCCTGACCACAGATTTGTAGCATTAAGTATTAAATTCAAGTCGCTACTGGAACTGGCTGGAGCTTTCCATTTCCAGTTCTAAGGAAAGTGTGACATTGTGAAGTGTGGTTTTGTCCCAGTCTGGAAGGGAAGATTATCCTTCCACTTTCACAAGAACAAGCAGTCTCTTTAAGCAAAGGAAATCAACAAAACAACCACACTTGGTGGTATGTCTATAAGAAGATTTTCTGATGTTTTGGCAGCTATACAATGGAATTACCATTAGTCTTGTGCATTTCACTGAGGAGTTGCAAGGGCCATCAAAGTTTACATCTGGAAGACCACAGGAGTTATATGAGAGGGAGGGAGCCCAAGGCCTCCAAGTTAGCAGCCTCTCAAAACTGCTTATATTCCTACATAACAAGGGACAGGCAGGGTAATTTTATCAAAAACATAAATTGAACTACCATGAGAAATGGGCATCTCGACACAGTAACAGTTCATCAGAGAGTCCTGAGCAGCATTAAGCACCACCACAAGGCACCTGATCTGCTGTACTTACATGGCCTTTACCCTGGCTCTCAAAGGGAGCCAGTAATCTTTCTCCTGCCATGTAGCTGCTAAAATAAAGGGTACAGAACATTCTCTTTCAGATGTTCCCTGTTAAGTAGCTGTCTCCATTTCTCAAACCCACACAGATCTAGGCTCATGCTCATCTTTTTTATTAACAACCACACTTGGTGGTATGTCTATAAGAAGATTTTCTGATGTTTTGGCAGCTATACAATGGAATTACCATTAGTCTTGTGCATTTCACTGAGGAGTTGCAAGGGCCATCAAAGTTTACATCTGGAAGACCACAGGAGTTATATGAGAGGGAGGGAGCCCAAGGCCTCCAAGTTAGCAGCCTCTCAAAACTGCTTATATTCCTACATAACAAGGGTCAGGCAGGGTAATTTTATCGAAAACATAAATTGAACTACCATGGGGGAAATGGGCATCTCGACACAGTAACAGTTCATCAGAGAGTTCTGAGCAGCATTAAGCACCACCACAAGGCACCTGATCTGCTGCACTTACATGGCCTTTACCCTGGCTCTCAAAGGGAGCCAGTAATCTTTCTCCTGCCATGTAGCTGCTAAAATAAAGGGTACAGAACATTCTCTTTCAGATGTTCCCTGTTAAGTAGCTGTCTCCATTTCTCAAACCCACACAGATCTAGGCTCATGCTCATCTTTTTTATTATTTCCATTACGTTAGAGGAGTCTAACAAAACTTCCTTCTGTCATCTACTCAAGGAAATACTGGATAATACCCCACTTCCCAAGTAGCTGGAGAAGCCTTTGGCCCAACCACCTTGATGGCAGGAGGCATTGGCTGCTTGCCTTGGTTGAACAGCAGAGGGCTGCAACCAGATTTGCTTTTGCTCATCTATGACTGGTAGCTGTCCCATCTCTGTTTCATTATGTTCTCTAGTGTTTCCCAGCTATTGCCAATATTGCTCCTGCATGGGTACGGCTGTAGATTGGTGTCCTAGGCAGGCTGGCACTTGAGCAGCTGCTGACCTGGCAGACACTGTGATGTGTAGTCTGCCCCCGAACCTGAGCCTGTCAGGTACCACCCATTGCACTGCTGGAGACACACCAATACCAACACAAAAGCAAGAAGCAGCCCAGTGGTCCTAAGACTTCATCTCCACTGATCAACATGTCGCTTCCAAGAGTGGCAGCTTAAACTATAAGGCATGTGTGCCCAGTGCTACGAACTGCCTGGCATCTCAAAAAGCCGGATATTTTGGGTGTTCATCATGAGCCGTGCAACCTACAGGTATTCCTCCCATGTGTGCTCTTCATCCCTGCCCCTCCATGCTCCCCAGTCACCAGTGCAATAGAATGCTTCGGGTTGGAAGGCAGCCTTGAAGAACTAAGTCATCCTCAAGGTCCTGTTCCAACCCAAATCATTCTGTGATTTTCCCCGCTAGCCGAAGGGAGGGAAAAGCCTCCTTCCTTCGGAGGTGCCTCTCACCTGCGCCTCGGCCGGGTCTCTTCTTCCTGGTCTCCACCACGGCTGCGGGCTGAGGCGGGCCGGGCGTGGGTGGCAGCGGTAGCGACTGGATGTTGCTTGGCTTGTGGAACTGTGACAGCAAGTGGGGAGACTTGGGGGGCAGCGGAGGGGGCACGTCGGCGCCGCTGAAGGCCGGGGAGGGGGGAAAGGAGAGCCTGCTCGCGGGCGGGGGGTGGGCGTGTGGCGGCGGAGGCGGCGGCGCGGGAGGGGGACAGTCCCTTCCTTCGGTCGGAGCGGCCGCAGGGGCCTCGGCGGCCCTGCCCGGCAGCCCGCAGGGGGGCACGGGGGGCAGCGGGGGAGGAGGAGGAGGCGGAGGAGGAGGGGGCGGGTGCGGAGCGGCTGCCGGAGGCTTGGCGGGCTTGTCAGCCTGAGGGGGAGGGAGCGGGGCCGGGGGAGCAGCGCCGGGGCTCACGCCCTTGGCAGGGCGATCGGCCGGAGGGGGCACAGGGGGAGGAGGAGGGAAGGTGAGGGAAGGCTTGCTGGAGGCGGGGGGCGGTGGAGGCGGGGCGGGCAGGCTGGGCCGCCCGGGACCCGCTCCCGCGGCGGCTCGGGAGGTGCCGGGAGGCTCCGGTGGGACAGCTGCCCTTGGAGCCTCGGCCGGCTGCGAGGGGCTGTTGTTCGCCTTGGCAGCGCCGCTGCTCGGCGGTGCCGAGGGTCTGGGGGACGCTGCTCGGCCTCCGGAGAGCTGCCCGGGCTTCCCTGCTGGAAACCAGGTATCACATGTTACACACCGGGATTGCGTTCCCACGCCTCAGACCGAACAGAGATAAAGGCAAGCTTTTCATCTTCCCCTCCCCAGTGGACACCCAGAGGGATTAAACTCATTCACCCCGAATATCTCATATCCAGCAGGTTGCCCACGCTGGAATGCGGCTTAGGAGGTGATGCATTCCAGTGGGCACCACGGATTCTGCTTAGTGACATGACGACCTGCTGGGAGACCCTGCTCCCCTCCCTGCTCCTCAGCTTCTGCAGAATGAAACAGTTTAAGAAGGAACTTTTATGGAGAGACTGGGACCCTTCACACCAGCCTCATCTTGCCTGGTACAGCCCACTGGGCATCGAGATTCCCAGTGAAAAGTACATGAGCTGTTTAACACACATCAACTGGCATCCTTCAAGTTAAGTACTTGCTTAGGATCAAAAAAGTCACACAAATGTTACAAAAACCTTAGCTCCACAGATAAAAGGCAAGTTTTTAAAAGCAATGCCTCAAAGGCTTTCCGGAAGGCACAGGTTCTGGTATTTCCTTTTTAACAGCAAATGTCTGAAGACTCTTCAACTTACAAAATGTCTTTTCCTGAGTAAATGTCAAGGATTTATCACAAAGCAAGATGTCAAAAAAGGCACCTCATTTGACACTCACTGATAGGCATGACCATAGTTTTAAGAGCAACTCAAAGTAGTTACTGCCACTGAAGCTATGTCAAAAGCCTACCACACACAGTGCTCTGCATCTTTGGCTTGCCTTTTTGGAGCAAAAAACCTTCAGGCAGAGCCAAGTTCTGTCTTTCCCTGCAAAATCCTACTTTGCTCTGTGCTGCCTGAGCAGGCACCAGCTGCTAAACAGAGCCAGAGGTCATTACTGTGACTATAAAAGTCATCCCTCATTGATGCTGGCACTTCTTGAGGTGAAAGCAGCAGTGGGGCTCCCCATATACCTTCCTCCTATTATTGTGAAGCAACAATACCCTTATTTTTCAGATCAGTAAATTACCTTGCTGGATCAAAGCTATACTCTATAAAATCCAGAGGGAAAAAAATCTTAAATATGAATCTTTAAATTAATACCCAAGTCTGTAACACCATAGAAATATACACTAGTGGAGGGAAGGAATATGACTTTGCCATTTGTGCTGAAAATGATAAACTCAGATTTCAACACTGTATTTAAGACACAATTAAAAGTTTTCATTAAAATAATGTAAAAACCTCCCCTAAAGAGATCTATTTAATCTCTTTCTTACCAAGTGTGGAGACAGCTTTTTATTTATGTTTAAGAAATAAGGCACCTGAGATCTAGAAAGGTGGCTTCAATCACATTATTAATTGAGCCCTCTATGGTCACATGATGAACTAAGCATTCAGAAAAACAAAACAAAACAAAACAATAAAAATCAATCAGTAAAACTAATCCCAAAATACTTTTCATCCCAAATTTCTGCCTGCCCAGCTCTGCTTTCATACAAATGAAGCCCTTACCTGTCATGTCCCTCTGGCCTGCTGGTCTGAGAACAGGAAAGCCACCAGCAAATAAACCTCCCAGAGGCTGCTGAGAGCCACCTTTATTAAGAGCTGGGTTACCTCCATCTCTGTTAGCTCCTTTGGGTTCTGTTAAAAAGAATGAAAAATGCAGGATATATCAGAAAATAATTTCATCCTAGCCCTAAGACTGCTAAGGCTTGGTGACAACAAACAGCCAAGGCCAAACTTTTCCCTGTACTGTTATACAGGAACTGCCATTCCTCTCTGACCTGTACCTTGGAGCACAGCACCCTCTGGTGCTCTTCAACCTCACACAAATCGTGACACCAAGAAGTAGCTGTGAATTTACATTTCCAGATTTTTTCAGCGGTTTTTTTTTTGTTCTTTTAATCTAATAAAGAACAATTCTTCTGCTAGAGCCAACAATTCCCACCTAATTATTTCATTGAAATGCTCTCAAGGATTTCATCATTCATTATTTATTTTGGAACAAGGAATACCTGTTAAGGTGATAACCAGTTGGAGGCTTACCATGAAGTGTTAACAGCCATTGATCTCAGAGCAGGATGCATGTTTAAAAGTGTCCCCTCTCTGCATCCTAAAGCCATATGAAGATGCAGATCTTTGCTGACCTTCAAACGTGCCCTTCAATGTGAAACTGTCCATCTGACCTCCACCCACACCCAAGGCTCAGCAAAGCTGCCCCAGGGCCTTGCTGAGGAGCACATGCTCACTTTCAATCTGTGGTGCACTGCGGTCGTTGATTTGGGTCACTTTCCTCAGGCGAGTTCCCTGCTGGATATCGGCCAAGAGTGCGTTTCGTGCTTTCTGGTCTTCCTTTCGCAATTTTGGTATCTCTGAGCTTGCCTGTTGACAATAAGAGCTTTAGATGGGAGGTACAGACAAAAATGCACATTTAGAAAGGATACACAGGCAAACATGGGATAGAAGATTTGAAATAAGCCCTCCCTGGCAGCTGTCACTCCCAAGCCTTTGAGTTGAATCAACAGGAATATTTGGTTGTGCAGGAGGCAGGAAAGCTGAAAATCTAAGTACAACACAAACTAATACTAGTTGAGCTAATGCTGTTGAAAGCAAATTAGGAGGCATGCTCAAATGAAATGTGACCTCATTTGGCCATTTATGGCCTCTGTCCCACAACTCCAGCTCCAACTTCCTCTGTCAGCTCTTATCATAATATTTACAATGCTTTACATCAAAATTTTTATATGTCAAATTATAATAAATACCTGTTTTATCACTTTTCTTAGGAAAAGAGATAGATAAATGCATGCTGCACTTATATTTGAATGTGACCATTAACTTATTTAGACTACCTCTCTGTACTGGTGATTAATACCAGTTCAAGTAGAATTCCTTTAGAATAATACAATTATGTTTTAGTAACGTCTCCATCCTAAGCAAGCTTGATAAGTGTAAAGTCAAGTTACAGTTTAAAGTTCTTTAATAAAAGAAACAAACAAAATTAATTCTTTATTCTTACTTCTTAAAGTTTATTGTTATATATATTAAAAAACCCATATATTTAAAAAATTGGATGTTTCACTTTTTAAAAGCAGATAGCAAAGCTGTTATTCCTAAACCTATTGTGATTAACAGAGCAGTCTAATAGAGGGGAATCTTCACATCAGAGGAGCAATGTTCTGCTTGCTTCCAAAGTTCCCAGAGGTTAGGTAACTCCCGAAAGAGAACGAGTACCAGAAATGTTTCCATAGCCCTTAATTTTAGCAGTTTTAATAACCTAAACAATACTGTCACACTTGAAAAAACCCCCAAAGCCAACCCAGCTTGGTAATGGCAAAGCAAAACAGAAACTTGAAAACACTCAACCAGCTGTTGAACTAATAATGTGTCTAACTCGCTAATCCCAAGTGAAGCACTATTATTCGTTGTTATTTTTGTACTGGCTAAAAAAATCAAAACCCAGCCAGCGGGATTTGCTACGCCCCGCTAGATGGAGCTCCAGACCGCCGCTAACGCCGCCGCATTCCCGAGCCCTGATGTAAAAACTCGGAATTACAACCTGGCTGATATCACGTGTTATTTTAAAATGTTAGGAAAACCCCCACTCTGTTACATTTTCCTCGTTTGAAACAGCGCTGCCTGCCCTGGTACTTGCAGAACAGGGAGTCCCACTGTCCATTATGAGGCCCCAGTAGAGCTGCCCGTGTCAGCGGTGTTAGACCATGTAACAGCCACAAACCATTTCCACTCCCCTTCTCTGGAAGCTGACAATACTTACTGTGAAAAATGGAAATACCATAACTGGGACAAGGGTGATTCCCTTCCTCACAAAAGCCCTTTGCCAGTATCTTCAACTTCTTGTCTCTCTACTCCCACTAATGACTTTGCTGTGGCAGGACAAGCAGGATCTAGAGGGATCTGATGAAGAGCTGTGTTTAAAATTAGACCTAGCAGCTGTCTTTAATTTCCGGGTTCAAATGTCCATATATTATGCCAGCTGTCCACTTCACCTCCCAAATCTACTTCTCTGGGCAGACAGGCTATTAGAATACCCAGACAGCTATTAGGCTAAAATAACCGACTTGTGTCGACTTGTGGCAAGTAACCCATAACTTGATATCAATGTAACACAAGCAAGACAAAAATTGGTGGCATAAAAAAGCAGGAATATTGTTCTGCCATTCCATAATGCAGCACAACAAGCCACCTTTCTCTTAACAGCAGATTCCCTTACTCCAAGCATAACTCCATCCTATGCCCCATCTGTTTTTTCTTCCTCCCTCATATAAATAAGAGATTCAATCTTCCGTGCCCAGGCTGGTGGACTCGGATGATTGATGAGCTGCTGAGAAGCTTGATGTGGATTCTCTTTTTCCATTACAAAGTCAAGATGGTCTGGGGTGTAGTGTTGCCTGGTTGCAGCCAGAGCTCCTTCAGATTTCTTGTTTGCTGCCTGCACTCCCAAGGCCAGTAATAATCCTTGCCAAGAATCGTTTCACCAGGTAAGTATCTCACCATCTACTGGTGTTCAGCATTTGCAAATTCGGGTATTTACCATATTGTTTTTTTGAGATAACCTTCCTTTCTTTGATGAAGAAATAAATCTTGGATTCACACTCATGCTGTGCTTGCAATCCATAGCACAAGCACAGATAACAAACGTAAGTTCTGCATCAAGAGAAAAACAAAGAGGAACTCTTATGGCTGTCAAATCTTCAGCCCTGATCACATGCAATAATATAAGTGTTTCAGCAGGAACACAAATACATTTTAAGTCACAGAGGGAAAACAGCTGCAAGACAAAAGATGCAATTCTTAGGCTACTTTCTATCCCACCATCTGTAGGGCAGCCTTGTTTATTTACAAAAAGAGAAACATCTCAGTATTTCAATGAAAATCAGAAGGGAAGTGGAGAAGAATGTGAAGATCATTTGTTTTATCAGGTGCCAGAGCTGCCTCAGGTAACACAGAGTGAAATTAAATTCCATACCTTATTTACAGGAATTGGTAAGGGAACGATGGGTTCTCATTACCTTAGCAACCACTAGGTTACTCTGCTACTATTTCAGACACAATGAATGTCACATTCAGTACATACTTAGAAACAAAATGGAACAAACCACGCATGTAAATAGCCTCAACATAAGAATTACTTCCTTTTCATCTCGCCAAACTCCACCACATTTTGTCTTCAGTGTCCTAAATTACACACTTAGCTATGATATTCAGTAAAGTATGGGACTCATGTTTAGGCTATCTGTCAGGTCTTCAAAATACTTGTAAATAGGAAAATACCTTCAAATCATATTTTTTAGAGTGATGTTTCAGACTGTAAATCATCAATGTTGGAAATAAACATTTCAGAATTTGAAGCTGGTAACTTAGACTAGTGGAAATAAGAATGAGTACAACATGAATATATAGAGAGACCTAAATCACTGCAGCTTGAGGCTGTTTGAAAAGAACAACAAACCAAAACATGTTTCCCCACTGCTGACTTGGAGGGGGGAAAGGAGAAAGAAAATGCACAATATAAAAACATCAAATGTAAAACTGAAAGTGACTGGATTACAAATAATGGTCAGATCTCTGAAACTAAAGCCTGTATTCCAAGTCCCACAAGCCTGGACCTGGAAGGGGACTCCAGCAGCAAGCCTGAATTAGCAAGTATGGCAAGCAGGGACAGTACAGTCCTCCAATATTTCTCATCCTTTCAGAAAAAACAGTGTGAGAAAAAATGGAATCACAAGCTCAGTTCTAGTCTCCAGATTTTTAAAATTACATTGTGGAAACCTGAAGGTGCAAAAGAAAGAGCCAAAGCAGTGTTCAAAACACTGGAGGCAACAGTTCAGACTTCAGCAGTTCTGACTGTCAGCCCTGAAGTCTGAGGGGAGTCTGCCTGCACATGACAACCTGTACTGGGAATGGGGGTGAGGACTCAGACAGCAGAGACAGGCATTTGGTGAATTAATGTGAGGTGCAAACAGACAAGCCACAGACAGCAGCAGATTATCAATCGCTTGGTAATACTTCAGATCAAGGCTGGATCCTCTCTGTCAGAAGTGGTTTTTGTGAAGCACAAGTCACCAGGTCCTGCAGAGCTACCTGGTGACGTGCAGTACCCTGTGGTGGAATGGCACAGCTGGTGGTTTGTAACAGCTTCTTCCAGTAGGGAGTTCTGTGAAAGTGGATTGCTCAGTTTAGAAGAACAACTCTCTATTTTTACACTTTCTATACATGGACCACTCCAGGTTTGACCCTGAATAATCACAATCTTAACATCCTAAATTGAGTTGTATCAGACAAATTAAGAATGGAGAGACTTTTTCTAGGGAAAACTGACTGAAATGCATGGCAGTGAGCTCCATTTCTGGGTACACTCTGCTGTGATATTTGCATCACCTTCAGAATGTCACTTTACATCCTGCAAGACAGATGGGAGCATCGACCTACCCTCTGGGCTACTATGATACTTAAAATATTTAAGACACATACGTGCTCAGATACTAAATTGATGTAAATGCAGAAGACACCAGCCATTTAAAAAAGTTGATATTAATACTAATTATAATCTATATATTTAAAAGAGTACCTCTGCACACAGAAAAGGGGAAATCCTCTGGATTTTGGACAGGTAATTCAGTCACAGTTCATATATACTGTCCCCTAAAAGGCTTGTATTTACTCTGATTTTAAATATGCTCTTGCATGCATTTGTAAAGTACTTCAGGTAATACAGATCTACATAAACAGGACAGCTGCAGGAAAAATGTACCTCTAGCCTTCTGGACAACCCAATAGCCAGGCAGTCATGGGGCTTTCTTTCAGAGTAAACCCATCAGGTGATATGAAAAGATGATCCAGTACTAAAACTCTAAATTACATAGGAGCCATAAGTAAGATAAAATAAAGCATTATTCCATCCAAAGGCACTACATACTACATTACTCAGAGAACTTAATAGTACAGAGTATTTACACTTCTAATGTGTAATGAATTGTATCATCATAGTAGATTCCTGCTCCTGATCATATTTTACAGGAAACACTGGGAAGACACCTGTGTAAGAAATTATTTATTTATCTGAACTAGATAAAAAACTAAACCAAAAAAAGCCAAAACATATTTAGCTTTTCCCTAATTATTTTGTGAGACATATAATGATAACATTAAAGACCAATCAATATATTTAACATCAGAATTTTATTATGGGCAGAAGGAAAGCTCCCTCTTTTGCTGACAATATTAATTATTTCTATGAATCTGGTGGCAATTAACCTTCTTCTCTCCCATTACCATTTTTTCCCCCTGTAGACAAAATCCCCCAGATTCAATGCAGAGATCAAGCACAGGTAGTGGCAGAAGGTAAAAGCAGCATATATTTTAGTGGAAAAAGAGACTGAGGACACCCCTTGCTTTCTTATTTTTCTCTGCCATGCTCAGCCAAACCTGCACAGATCCAGGCTGAGGCAAGTGATTTTCACCACTGCAGTTTGAAACACTTCAGGCATGGCTTTTAAGGAAGGGAAAGGTAGTGCAGCAAGATAAAGACTCAGCAGAAAGCTCTAGGATAAAGGATATTTGATCACAGAGACAAATATATATGGGGAGAAAAAAAAAAATAAATTCCTGAGCCAGTCCTGGCCTTCTAAGGCATCCAATCTGTCATGATTCAGAGACACAACTTAAACTAAAAAATGCAAGAGAAAAAGCCTACAAACATGTCAGTGGACAATTAAAACCAGCATCTAAAACAGCAGGTAGGGCAAAACAAGCAAGAGCTGTGGAGGCAGTGTAGTCAGTAATGTGATAGTGTCAGCTCTGGTCAAAGAAAATGTTTGTCAATAATGAGAGACAACTAAAACATCTAAACCTTATATAAAGGATGTATAAAGCATCAAGAAAGAGCAGAAACCACTGGAAATATATAATAACAAAATTCTCTAAATATTATTTTAATAGTAACAATAACCAAAATTCTGGTGTAAACAAATCCAGATTTTTCAGGGAAGAGGACAAAAAAGGTGAAGCTAGCTGCCTAATGCAGTATGTGCGTCATGTCAGAGATAGCTGAGAATAGGAGAGAAAAACACAGCTTGTTTGTGGTTGGTAAACCATCTGAGGAAGGATGATGAGTGTTCTTACTACCCATATGGCACCACAAGACTTTCCAAGCAGAGGAGCATGAAGGGAGAGATGATGACTGGGTCCCCATCCAGCCATAAATCTCCTACTCCTTCGAAGGAAAGCCAGGCACTAGATTGGTGCTCACAGCAGTCTGGAAGGGAACAGATCTTGAGTGAAGGGCCTCAAAGGGCATGAGTCTGTTAAAATACCCTTCTGGGACCAGTGATGATAAAAAAGAGTGGACCAAGAGCACAGGAGACTGCTTGCAAGCAACCTACTCTGTAGCTTCCTTCCACTTAACCACAAGCTGCTGACCACAAGTGTTCCATACGGAGATTCCTGTAACCATCAGGACTAAGGTATTTAAATGAATTTGGCTCCTCAAAGACTGCATCCTTTTCAAAAGCAGAGCTGACAGAAAAAAAGTAATATTGCCAGTAAGATGCCAGAACAGTCTAACAAACTACAATGTAATAACTTTTAATAAAAAAGAATGAGGTTGTTTTGGAACAAAGTAAAACATGGAAGTTGACCAGACATCTCAGTGTAAGCTGACCAGCATGTCTTCCTTGACATAGCACAGGATTATCAAAGCCATCTCTCCATTTGTAGCTCAGCATGAAATCTGAAACCCCAGAGGAATTTAGAACTTGATTCCAAGATCAATCCACTATTACTAGTTTAGAATTATGCCAGGAATTAATGATTTTACATTTGCAGCAGAAACAGTTTGCCCAGCAGGCAAGAGCATTGCTTTTACAAAGAATTCTCAAACCAGCAACTAAAGTCTCCACCAGGAATGTGCCAAGAAAAGCAGTAGCAACAAAAAGAAGGAGCTTATTAAAATAATAAACATAGTTTCCAGTACATTACAAACAGGAGCACCACAGAGAAAAACATTGTCATTGTTCTTGTATTTTCATTACATATGCATCAGGTGTGGTTTCACTCATGCACTGTCAAATACAAAATAAAATAAAATAAAATAATTCTCCCTTCCAGTTTAAGGAAAAATCTAACAAGTCTCAACAACAAAGTAGATGTCTGCTTTTATTTTAAATATTTTAAACTGCTTGTTTCTAAACAAGCTTGGGAGATCTGGTACCTGACAGTTTTAGTTCTATTCACAAGAGAGCTCTGACCTCTGATTTAAAGATTTTAATTATGGGTGACCTCACCACAGTGCAAGACTCCACCTGCACAGTCATTTGCAAGATCAGAGCCACTTCTGTGTTTCTGCTGTATAGCACAGGACAAAACTAATTAATTCTTGGCACCTGGTCTGCCTGGGCAAACATGGCACTCTCTCAGCCTTCTAGCAAGCTGAGCTTCAAATGCTTCCCAGGTGAGGGGTCACTCTCCAGCCAACTTTTCTGAGGGAACCCACACGAGGGGACCTGCCAAATAGCTTCCTGGCAGCTTACAACATCATTGTTTCAACAGAATGACAGGACCAGCACTTGACAATTCCACCTACACCCAGCTCAGTACTGATTTACCATGATCTCAGTCTCTATGGCACAAAGTTCTGCAGTCTGAGCCTGCCAGGTTGAAAAGGTCATCGAGCAATGTGTGTACTTAGATAGGCTGTGTCCACACCGACCTTGTTTCTCAGCTCCCAGCTAGGGAAGTAGTGCAAAAGTTGTTATGGATCTCTTCCTGGCACTACAGCCACCGCCTAGTCCTGGCTTTAGTCCCAAACAGCGAGGTCTTTCAGTGTTAGCAGAGCCTGACGCCTGCTCTGCACCTGCTTGAAGCTACCACCATACACAATGGCAGGGAACAGAACACAAAAACCAGCATAGCAGGAGCAACGTTCTTCTAAATTTATGTTCCCAGTGCTCATTTCAAACACCACCAGGAATCAATGCCACTGCACCCAATAAACCCTCTGCACCTTATGCTAGCACTGCTGTATCAGATAATGTAAAATCTTGTATACTAAAGGGTTCATTTGCTCCTGCCTCAAATGGAGCAGGAGGGTTATTCACTAGGGTGTACTTAAGATTTTCCAGTGTGGATTGCTAGATTTCTGTATCTGAATACAAAAAATGCAACAGAGTAAGTAGGATCATTTGTACCTGCTGAGCTTTTCTGTAGGTATTTAACTTTCTGACACCCACATTTTAAATGTAAATTTTGACTATTCTTGTACTAAAAGAAAACATGCAGTAACAGAAGCCACCAAAATGAAGGCACTATAAAATTTAAACTACTCTAAAAGTGTTTCCCAGCAGTCCAGAAAGATCACAAGTCAAATACCAAAAATACCCTGAGACTGGCTTCAAAAGCTAATTTTGGACTTCATTTTTTGATTTCTAAAATTTTGAGATTCGAAGTCCCATGATAGCCTCTGCATCAAAAAAAAGAAAGGGAAAACTCTTACATAAACAAAGTCTGAGGGCCTGGCAGTGCGATGAAAATGTCAAACAGTACAAGGCTGAAAACACTACCGTGGGAGCTGGTGACACTAGCACTATTTATTCTCTCTGTCTACCATAGCAGAGTCCCCAGAATGACAAGGGATACCACGAGTAGTGGCAACAAAAATTTCACCTATACACATCACAATTTAATCTCTCTCTAAGAATGCTAGGCTATTTCTCATACCCAGTTACCTGTGCAGTAGCTACTGATCATTCTAAAATGCCTTTTAGCATCCACACAAAATTATGGTTAACCCAAGAGAGAATCATGAGAAACTAGCATTTCTTGCACTCTCACCTTCCAGCCATTCAGAGAAGTCCTACTCAAGCGTTGCTATAATTTTGAGTTCTCTTTTAATTAAAAGGCTAAAAGTACAATATTAATTGACAGATGGAATTTAATATGTAACACTAGAGATGGGGTACTGACTTTTAAGGGCATTATTACTTTGTGATTAGAATGGTAAATTAACCTATTAGTTGTCTGCAGCTAGGCTGCTTCTGGTACCTGGGCTTGATCATTTACAGCTGGTAAATCTACTCTGCAATTTCCATACGTGTATATTAAACAGATGAAAAAGAGAAAGAATGCTCTTCAAATGAGTTCCATTCCATTCAGACACATAGAACACATGACATTATGAAGAAATCTGCAAAACAGAACTCATTCTCTAAATACATTTAAAATGGTCACATAAGAGTTCTCAAGTGAAGCACTCAAGATTAGCACCTAGGAACTATATGCAACCCATGCCCCTGTACCTGTCCAGATGAAACAGAACAATGACAGCCTAGTATTTATGTTATCTTTTAATCTTCCCCACATTTCACAGTTCCCACTTACCCTTTTTGTATTTCTTAACTAGAAGAGTAAATGGCTACAGCAGCCACACTTTGAGACACCACAGCTATGCAATCCCAATTTTCCAACTGCTGAAAACGAAGTCAAACTACACAAAGATACAGCATTTTTTTTTCTACATGACTGATTCTCACTCCTTTATGAAAGCAGACTGGTGTGAGATATTATATATTATTAAAACACTATAAATCAGTATCCTTTATCTCATCTGGAACAAAGCACTCAAAAATTTCAGCTGTGCTTTGTCCAGCCTTTAGCACAGTATGCATGATATGCATGATCAGTCACCAACAAGATTACCAAGCCTGCACTTTCTCTCACTCAAAGGCTTTGTCCAGCCTTTAGCACAGTATGCATGATATGCATGATCAGTCACCAACAAGATTACCAAGCCTGCACTTTCTCTCACTCCTGTGTGTTTTACCTATCAGCAATAAATATTGTGTTTTAGTATCTCCCTAGACTCCATGACAAAATACTAAATATGATCTTACAGCTTAGATAAAATTTTAATAAACACATTCCTAACTATTTTGCTATTGGCACCATGCACAATGATGTTCTTTCAGCTACACTTGCATGTCTAGGGGTCTGAATAAAAACTTGAGAGATCACTTCAATTTTTACAATAAATAATTAGCAAGCATGACCAAAAATTTATGCATATGAGTGCTCGTATGTGCACATTCGCTCATACTATATTTGGTAAGACCAAATGAAAATACCATAAATCATCATTATCTTCAGCCAAGATGTTTTACATATGCTGTTTGTTCTCTTTCCAAAGAACAGTAGTGCTAAATGTCATAGGAGCAAAACCAACTCCCACACAACTTCAGATGAATGCTGTAGCTCTCTGAATTTCTTATGAAGGCTGAAGGAAACAACTCAGCAAGGTTTTCAATCTAACTGCATGAAGGAGGGGAAAAAAACATCCCCTCAAGGGAAACTATCAGGTGATGCTTTTCTGAAACCTTGGAAATCCTTCTGTGTAAATCAGGCTTTTATCATAACATTATATCATGAGGAATTGCTTTTCTGAGTTTTCTATTACAGAGTAGAAAATAAGAAGAGAATAAAAAACTTGGTAAACACTGACAGGTTTATCTACAACAGTAATTCTCTTTTTAATTTTTAAAAATTTTTAACTAAATAAAAATGAGGTAATTATTATGCTTAATTTACATGCTATTCTAGCATTCATCATTGTTTCAAGTTTCACATTTCTGTCACCAAAGTAAGCATATTACTTTCTCCTTCTGCTGTCCTTGTTTCTAGTGTGCCACAAGGCAGCAAATAAACACCTGGTGCTACTTTAGAGCTTTAATCATCTGATCCATTGTGATTTTGGGGGTTAATTTCTATGCTAAGACTTTAATCATAACAATTCTAAAGAGAACAGAAGAATTTTCTTAACTCCGCAAACATATGAATCATTAAACAAACATCTCTGAGTAAGGCACAAACCAGCAGGACTGCTACGCATCCACACTTCCTCCAATATTAACATTTTAATAGGTGATGACTGATCTTAACATTACAAATTCATATATACAGAGGCCACACAGCAGTAAGCAGCCTTCACTGCATGTAATAAGTGAACAGCGTTTATCAAAGCAAAATTCTCCCTTGATCCTTTTCTTGGGAAATTAAGTAGAGAAAAATTTTAATCCGTCTCAGTGGTGACACCTACTCCAGAAACGTGACAAGCCAAAACTAACCTGGTTGCTTCATACACCACACTTAAAGGCAGGAGTGGTAAAAGAAATAAAGTGGGAATAAAATTAAGTTTTTTGTGAGCAGAAAGCTTAAAAAAAACCCAAACCTACCACCCTCTTCCACAAGACCACCAACAAAAACGCTATTAAAAAGCCCCACCTTACATGGCATGCCCATAAACTAAAAGAGCTTTGGAAAAAGTCTCCTGTCTACGTGTAGAGGAAAAGGGAACATGAAGACAATTGAATTCTATAAGCTAGTGCCAGAAAACACACCAGGGCATAGTTTTATTCTGCCTACTCACCCCTCTCATCTATATGACCCCCAGAAGGTAGGCATTTGAAGACATGGTCAATTAATCTAATTATCTGTATTTGCATTTTGACTCAGCCACCCACATCTGCTACAGCAGACATCCCACCATCCCCTCCTGAGAAATTCGGGAATTTGTTTCCTTTTAAGTTTGGTCACACAGCTAGTAGCTTTTTGGCTGTTGGGCACAGGTGGCTCATAGCATGTCTAAAATACTGTCTCCAAATCACTTTGTATTGTCTTGTAACAACTTTTGTGAACAAAATTCAGTACAAGTACTTACAGAATATAAGCTAGTCCAAAAGTCTTAGAAAACAGTAGGAACAAGGCCAAAAAACACTAGGAAGGAACTTTCTTCTGCTTTAAGAAGGAGTTAACAGGATACAAAAGTTATGTGCCAACAATAATTAAAATTTCTATGAAGTAAGGACTGCAAAATTATTTGGAATCAAGGTTCACAATAGTCACAATGAAAATGTGCAGAGAAAAAGATAATTGGTGACTACTTCTGCTAAAAATCTCTTGACAGCAAAAGCAAGAGGAAAGTATGGTTCTCATCCATAACTAGAAAAGCAAGACAAGTCCATGGTACCCCTGCAATAGCATCATGAAAAACTACAGGATTCTAAAACCCCCACCTACACACAGACATTTTTCTTTTAACATAAATCACATAAATTAAACTAGTGGCTCACCCACATAGCAATAGTAAAATTAAAAACTAACTTTTAATTGCTAACATGCAAATCTTACTGTGGTTTAATCATACCAGTATAATAAAAATCACTGTGCTGTTTACTTTGGAACTTTTCCAGCTGTTGGCCAAATAATAACTTATTTGCTTTGAAGGTTTTCCTTAAAGCCACAGGCCTGTTAAAATTTTTCCTTCCTCCATCCCCTAACTGTAGATCTAGCAGCTGTAACAACAGCTGGGCAGATCAGCAACTGTAAAAGACAAATGCCAATTTCTAGAAAAGGGCTTTCTAGTAAAAGAAAATAGGGTCTGTAGCAATTTTTTGCAGACTCCCCAACTACAGGGTTTTACTCTGTAACCTGGCACCAGCTGGAGAGCTGCCTCTTACTGTGTGCTTCTGCAGAACTCACCAGGCAGATTCCTCATCCTGTCTCTCATGCAGTTCTGACAGGGAAACGTCATTTTGCTGTTGCGGAAAAAAATTGTCCTGACACACTATTTTATTAATTATTTGTGTTGATTCATATACTCTTTTTAATATCAATATTTATTGAAATCAAGGCTTCAGTATCAGACAATAATTAGAAACACATCTAGTATGTATCATGTCACCAAGATGGAGTGACTCTAAATTCTGCATATCTTATACAGAGATCACCCCATTTGAAACAGAATGACCCAACTACAATATGAAAACAAGGCTCCTTGTATCAAAACCCTATCACAGGAGTGGGTTTAGTTGTCAGAAAAGGGAAGGGGAAACGAAAAATCCTAAACTTGTTCATAATGATCCTTAGGGGTCCTTTTAGCTTTCTCAAGTAATTTACAATTGGCGTATGTTAGAGGAGTCTAAAAACGTCTCTAGATACTTTACTGATCTAAATTTATAAGGATAAGAACATTTGCAGCTTCTGTTGACTTTAATTGCAGTTGTGAGCATTAAGCTGCTCACAATATGCAGCCCACTTATTTCAGCATCTAAGTATAGGTTGTGTACCAGCCCAGAAGAATTGCTAATTGGAAACACTGCTCCTGGTGCCAAAGTTGAAACTGAATGTTGAAAAGAATCAAACACTGCTTATTTCATTTGCTGTCTTTATCCTCCTCCTCTTCATCTCCCCAACTCATGGGGAGTTTTACAAAATGGTTCAGCCTGTAAAGTAGCAGAAAGAAACTTACAAAGAAACCTCCTTCTGGAAAAAAAGATAAAACAAGAGTATTATAAACCATACCAAACAAAATCAACCAACCCTCCTGGGAACAGAACAGGCAGAGATGCCAGGGAATGCAAGGGAGAAATGTATTTCTTAAAAAAAAACCAAACTTGAAGTACATTTGAAGTACATTTTAAGTGCCATGTACTGTTTTGCTACACAGTCTAACACACTCTGCAAAAACATAAAGCAGTGACAGAAGAATATATGAAAGAAAGTCAGGAGAGATTTTATGACTTGAACACAACCGTGCCAGGTTCCTCTCCTTCAAAAAAAGTCTAAGAATTTCAATGCAGAAACGGGTAATGACCAACTGATCACAGAATTAAAGGAATTACTTAAACAGGTTTTTTTACCATAGGTACAATAATTGATTGTGAAGGTATGAAAATGTAATACCCTGAAAGTTCACCCAGAGCATCCTCCTCTTATTGCAAACATTCTGGCAAGGCACATGTTCTACTTCATGACACACACAGTAATGATCTGTTACAAGCTGTAATTGTTCCTGCACATGTACAAAAGAATATTGTGCTGTATCCCCAGGAAGACACCGTGTGCTAGAAAGGGCAAAATGTACAGCTGAACACTGTGAGTCTTACTAGGAGCTGCAAGAAAAAGGATGAAGGAATTAATACTTACCATCTGTACATTACCAATACAAAAATGAATTCCGTTTCGCTGGAAAAGTATTCACAAATGCTAAATTCTCACCATATGCACTGTAATCATCTCAAAAGCTTTTGATCATGCACACCTAGCAGTAACAAAATTTTTGAGTATGCACCCCAAAATACATAGGTTTATTTCTTTATAAAGCATACACATGTATGACTGAAGTTGCAGTATTTTCATCCCACACACCAATGGATCACCTCACACACCCCACTTTGGAGATCACTGCTGTAATGAACAGAGCCAGTGCCAGCAAAACAAACATCTGCCCCAGATATTTGCTATGAGTATCCATGCCAAAATTCTGTGGGCCCTGAGCTGGCTAATACAGCTAAGCTTTTGCTCACAGAAATGAAAAGTTAGTCTTACCAGTGGTGGTGGTGGTGGTGGAGGGGGCCCTCCAGAAGGTGGTGGAGGAGGAGGCCCTCCAGAAGGTGGTGGAGGCGGTGGAGGAGGAGGTGGTGGCGGCGGTGGTGGCACAGGCATCCGCTCGGATTTCTAGCTTCACGCAGTTGTGAAAAATATTGCCAGTCTATGTCCTTGAGGAGAAGGAAGGGAGGAAAAGGAAAAGTGGAAGAATAAAAAGAAAAAACAGAGAGGAATGTGTTTATACACTGCAAGCTGAAGATCGGCCAAAATATCTAGCTCT